CTAATTTGAATTTTGTTGATGTGGTATTGTTCACATCATGGAGCTGCGTGTAACATCCCTGAAAGATGCATCACTATTAGAACATAGGTTCATTCCGGTTTGGTTTTTAACAATTGCTCAATAAATGTGTGTTTTGTTAACTTCTATGCAGTTTTAGTAAGTCAAGGGAACATTATTTACCCAATTTTTGTTTGTTTGTTTGTTTGTTTGTTTGTTTTAGTCTTGAGTAAATTTTCCTTAAACGTACATTTGATTTGAAGATATCTGTCATTACACTGCTCCAGTAGATGGATGTGGTCATAGCATTCGGTAGTTGGTAGTTGGAAGAATGCCCCTGAGTTCTTGAAGAGGAAAGACCTATGCAGGAAAGGAAAAAATCAGTGTCTTGCTTCAAATTTAGAGAGTGAGGATGTTTGGTTAGAAGTTGACACAGTGACATTCATGTACCAGTACACAAGCAATCTGTATCCCTTTGATATGGGTGCAAGCCAAGACTAAGATTACCAGCCTGAAGAAATCTGTGGAGAAAAAAAAATCAACCTTGAGGAAAGCTTGAGTTTGGGAGTTGGGCGGGAAAAACCAGGCTGACTGTTCTGAGGATATACAGTAAGAATTGGAATAGAAAGATGAATCCCTAACCATGCTGAATCCAACAAGGTTATGCAGGATTTCAATGGTCCCTAGGGGGTTAGGGACGACAATGCCCTTGTGTTGTATCGAACCTACAATTTCAAATTGTAAAATTTGCAATTGATTTCACATGTGCATTCAGTTGTTTGATAGTGAAACATAAGCGCTTACAGCTGCAGGTAGTACTGCATATTACTAACCCACTTGAGGCCATGTCAGAGTACATGTGTATCAAGTCTGCTTGTGTATCAGCGAATGAAGTGGTTGTTTGGGGTAAAGGTGAAAGGTCATTTCCCCTGAAATATGAATAGTGTTAGACTGGACCTGAAGTACCTAGATGTACCCTGTGGGGTAGTCGATGGGGTCCATATCATAGACTCTGCATTTGTGTAGTTGGTTTACCCACCACACCATCAAGGCTTACTTTTCATAGTAGTGGCAGTCATGGTTTTTTGCTGTTCAAGCACATTTATCATCTTTGTTTTCCCTCGCCAAACATGTGCATTCCAGCAATGGCTGAAATGGAGTGTGCTGGGTTTTCTATCCAGCACTTCACTTTGGGATGAATTTTTGTGGCAGTCTCTCAGGCTCTGACTGATTCTTCCGAGATTCTGTGACCTCATTTGAGAGTTCCCGTGTACGGCACTGATTTATTATTCGTCTTAGTGCTTCTGTTACAAGGAAACACACATGACCTTTTTTGAGGCTGGAGAAACTGGAATTGCCCAAGTCACTGATTGTCATTGGATAGGTGTCTCCGAGACCTACATTTACGACAGTTTTGGGATAAATTACGGGTTTGTAGATGTTTGGTGAAAATTGGAGTCTGGCGGAACCAAAGCGATGAGTGGATTGAAGTATCGGATGCGTCATCCGTCAGGTATCAACCGAGCCAGAGAGTTGGAGACATGACCGTGTCCAGACGAGGTGAAATTGTAGACTTGGATTAATAGCTCAGCCGATTGGAGTTTGGGTGAGAGATGTATCACATTGTCTACGTATTGCATGATGGCGGGACAGGTTTGCGTTTGGGCTATGCCCACCAAGAAAGCTTGAAGGTGAACAGGCATTTCCTTGTATACTTTCCTGAGTTTAGATGTAGTGTTGACAAAGCATACATGTACGTACATGATCAGTTCAAGTCTGATTATGAGGAGCATCCTTCACAAATTTGCTTACACTTGTGTGTGACGCATTGTATTTCAAACACTCAAACTCTCAGATATTGGGTCAAAGAATGCTAGCATGTCAAGAAAGCTTTGTACCCTCGTGAGTTGGGGCTTTGAGTCAACTTAGTTTTAACAGTTTACTCACATCACGAGATGTATTGCATTCTTCCTTAACCCTAACCTTCCCCAACCTCACAGAATTAAACAGTAGTAAAGTGTTTAATTCTGTGGGGATAGGTATGGTAGGCCCAGACAGCTGGCTTTTGCATTGGGTTTGGCATACCTCAGAAAAACAAAGTCCAATAGCCTCTGTGAACAAACCCCTTTGTGTGAATGGGGAAGGTTAGGGCCAGCAACCCTTGGGGGGTTAGGGTTTAACATTTGAAAATCTTGTAACAATCATGCTACATAAAGGAGTAGTAACGTTCACGTGGACCAGTGAAATTTCAAAACGTAAGGCTATCCCTTTGGTCATTCGTGAAAACAGATCGTCAGTCTGGGTATTATTTGCCTTAGTTATGTAATCAAGTGTGATTATGTCCCAAACTTAAAGCGTTTTGGTTTCTGGTGTTATATGTTGTAGTGTGCACTGAATAGAATGTTATGTTTGTACATGCCGGTTGTCTTTTACACTCTGTCTTTTAGCACTCTGCTGCAGATTTGTCCAATTTTAGGTAGTCCTGACATGATTACTTCCATGTATTTGGCATCAAAGCAAGTTGATTTTAAACTGATGTGCAGAATAACGTCCCATATTGTGATACATGTTACTGTTTCACTCTACTGCAGTCATCTTGAACCACTAGTTCACTTTCTAGTTACGACTTTTGCCCTCAGTGTGAGAGTTGAATCTGTAACTGGACCTTTTTGTAACAAGCACTCTTTACACACAGAAGAACATCTGATCTCGCTGTGCTCTCAACATCAACCATCAGTGTCCCTCGTTCTTGTTCGCTTTCACTATACTCAATTGGAACCCATCTCTCTATTGACAAAAGAGAAGGCGTTATTTGCCAAGGATGGTCCCCAGTGGTTCTTGAGCCATCAGCAAGGCGTGTGCACTGTATACATTTTAACATGTCCATCAGCTGGTGCTTGGGGAGTAAAACAGCCGACCCTGACCAATGACTGCCAGACTTGCTCTGACTTTGTTTACCAGTCCTGGTGATTTGATATGGGAGCGTAAGAGATGTCTGTGAGGATAGTGTTTACTATTCGGTTTAGAATGGTATTGGTGTGTACAGCATGATTCTTCTTGTGAGAGCAGTAATATGTAATGTGGCTTTGTGTCAGAGCCAGGAAGTTAAGCAAAAGAGTCAAAGCCAAGGAGGGAAAAGTGACAGGCAGACTTGCACTCAGCTGTTGAATTATTCGATAAATGTCATTTTCACAAATTTCAAAATATGGAGTGCCTGACGTTTTGATTCTAACAGAATCCTATGAGAAAGATTTGTATTTTAGGTCAATGTAGTCAGCAAGCAGTTTGCAGCAGTTTGGTATTACATATCTTAGCAAATGTCATTTTCATTGAAAATGTTAACATTTTCCCAAGGTTGAAATGAATGTGAAATGAATGTCAAACGAATGAAATACATTTTGTGAATCACTATTCCGTACTGTAAGTGAAATGTGTAAGATATTGTTGTGTAAAATGGACCAATCCAAATTTCTCCGACTCTTGATTTCTCTGCCCGTTGTTAGCCTGCCCATTTTGGCTCAGACAAAGATAGTAATAGTTGAAGACTGAAAACACCAGTGTACATATATGTGGACATTGAACTAATATGAATCTAGCATTTCCTGGCAGTAGATGGTCTTCTGTGCACCGCTTCTAGCACCCACTTGGCAAATTAGGTTGGGCTCATTGAAGAAATAACCATCAGTGAGAAGCCTCATACGACTCCCTGGGTAAAACCTTCAATCCATCTCTCCACCAGGCAAATATCAGTTGTGAAAAGCATGCTAAAAGCTACGGCCCTCGTTTTGTTCCAAAGCCTTGGAGGATGTACATGTACTTGCACATCTTCAGTCGTCAATCTTTAATTGGTCTTGATGCTTTTCTAATTTGATTGTGTTCAACTTTTGGCCTTCCTTTTATCCTTTGCCTGACTGATTGGATTGATTGGGTAGTCACACTACCTAAGTGTCTCTGCGCTTTTTTCCATTTTTTTCATCTCTACACAATACGGGCAGCCGCGACGACTCCTGGATGACACAATAGCACTTGAGAGTTTCTCAGAATCAAATTTTACACCAGTGCATCTGTCAAAAGCCTTACATCCATATCTGCCTTTGCCGGTCGTCACTGAAGCTACGGCATCGCCTTACATCTCTCCTTCTACACCATTGTTCTCTTCCTGTGCTTGTCATCGAGAGGAAAAGCTTTTTCCTCTCATTGTGAGCATGTAACTTTGTATAAGATAACATGTAGGTGATTTCCTCATTCAAATTTCTGAATTTTTTTCTGACGTCTCAGTTTAATGACATTATGTTTCTCAGTGTACAGTTGGGAGTGCTCACATCTTTACCGAAATGAAGCAACTGTTTTCATGTGGTCAAATTTCGTAAAAGCATGTACATGAACTATCAGTTATGAAAACATTGAAAGTGTTTGATGTGATTGCATATTAGAAGCCTGAAATTTTTCATGTCCTATTGAAGCAGGAGGTTGAAAGTGCTGCTTTGTTAAAAGTTCAAAATTATGATTGAGTAAAACAACATTAGCTTTATTTGCCTCCATTGCTTTTAGGAATTAAAAAACAATGAAATATTGTTTAAAAAACAAAATATTGTTGTATTTTCATATTTTGGTAGAAATGAAGCCTTATGAAATCCTGCAATATTTTTAATGGTAAAAAAAACAAGAAAAGTCATTTTTCCCAACGAGTTTACTCAATGAATCTGTGTCCTGTTTTAGTTAGGGGAAATTAACAAAGACAGATGGGACACTAGCACAGCCTTCCTTATTCATATCCTGTATGTGAAGACGAAGACCTATTGTTTTTTTCCTGTGACCTTTGTCATCGTTGTTTGGGTTTCTGGGCCACAAGGAACAGGACTTGGCTGTAAGTAGATGATTGTCATGCAGTCTGTTTGTTTAGCCATTCAACAAATCATGTTTATCCACTCCTGTAGGAAAGAGAATAATTCATCCCCTTAGCCCATGCACTGAGACATTCATTGCTTCCTTGTCCTTAGTCTTCTTACCAGCATGTTAGAGTGACGGCCCTTTTTTTTTTGCAGTGAGACAAGTAGCTTTGATTGTGATTGAGGGAGAATCTTTGGCCATTTGCCCTTGCCTGATGCATGCTGCTGCCGAAGTGCCTACCCTCTCAATAGAGCCCCCTGGTTTAACGTGGTCGATATGATTTGGTTAAATATTTACTTCTGGTTGGCTACACCAGATTTTCAAATTTGCACACTGTGTCCCCCGCCCGCTGCGCATACGAACTCACTCACACACTTTCTGTGCCTGTCGGATGGATGGTAACAGAGCTACACAGGGGCAGCTATTCTCTTGCCCTTCCCCACACACACACACACTCGGAGACACATGATACAATTAACCCATCAATAAGTTCCTTTGCTATTCAAATGAGGTAACAGTTGGCGGGGGACCGGGAGGAAGGAGCCGCTACAGAGCCAGTGAGATAGATAGGCTCCACTTTGTACTGGAGGCAAAGGCTGTCCTGACTCCACGAGCTGCGAGGGTCGCACCAGGCAATCACTGCACAACACCAGAGACAATGGACCGTTCAAGGGCTGTACAGGCAGCAGATGATTAATCCTAGCCCACCCTGGCCCGCCTCCCCCACTGGTGTCAGGTTTTGACCGTTGGCTGAGATTTGTTACAGTGGGAGGGGCGCATAACAATACAAGGCGGCAGTTCAAACATCGAGCCACTTCAGCAACGGTTGCGGTGTGTAGAGAGGAATGAATGAACACCACCAGTGGTTTCTGATGCGGTTAGTGAGCAACTTCATACCACATTAAGAGTACTTTGAGAAAGCATGGTACTGCAGACTGAAATGCATCTGTCGTTGTCATCCAGCAACACTAACAGGAGGTTGATAGGAGATTGAATTGGATTACAGGAACAAGACTTGGAGGATTTGGACTCTACATGTACATGGCGAGTTACAGCTTTGATGGAGCTTCTTCGGTGATGATGTCATGGTCGGTGCCCTGATGTCACCCCATCATTTCTGAGGTGGCTACTATCAGAGCCAAACAAATTTAATTTCACTTTCTTTGATAAACCAGTCCAGTCTGTGACAAAGAAGAGATGACAGCTGTGAACATTTTACCGATGTGCCACAGAAATTGGCCAAGATCTTGCATTCTTGGAAGGAACATGCAAGCAAAGTCTGCTTGATACTGAGCCAATATTGACGGTTGCTGAAATATTAGCTCAGTTCGTGTTCATCAACCCGCAGGCATAGGACATAAACCATGTTTGAAATTCTAGAAATCGAAGACACCTCTTTCCTTAGCTGATGTTCTTCAAACAGATAAAAATGCTGTGTATTAATCAACGTCCGGACATATCTTGGGAGGTCTAATTGGTAACAGATACCCTACCGAGGGAAGAAAAGAGATAGTAGATGAGGCCAGTTCTACTGGGAAATCTTTCTTCTTATGCGTAGCAAAAGCGTCAATTACGTCACGCAGACACAGAGGCAAGTAATCTTTGAGAAGTGCTTCCCTTCAAGAATGGTACCAACACTACATCTTACTTACTGTTAGACGGACAGTTGGATTTTTTGCATCGGCATGATGATGCTCAACGCACCTCCTTCCATGTCCCAGCAGTTCCCCCCGCCTCCCCAGTTCTCGCAGGTCCCGCCCCCAAACTCGCAGATCCTCTACTGTACGCACTGTCCTCCTAACGGACTCAGCGGGACCCTCCAGCCAACGTTCAGCTCGCAGGGGATGCAGAAGCCAATGGTAACGTCAACACTTTGATTTGATTTGATCTGATGGCTGATTGAATTTGGGCTTGGCCCTGCAGGAATATGGAGTCATAGTTTCCTTACTGGTGGTGTGCATTATGAAGTAATCACTTATTAACTATATTAGTCCTCAGAAAGAAAATTTCAGGCAAATTTTGAATAAGTGCAACCATTTTTTTTTTTTTGATTCTGCACTGAAATTCTAATTTTTGTGAACATCTAAGTTTAATAACAGATGTTAGTGCTAATTTTTTGTACAAGTAACATTACGATTTTTCTTTAAGAATTTAGAGAGCTACTGTACTTGTACATACACCTGTGCCTCGAGTGTGGCAGTTTGGTTTCATCTTAAATTCTCTGTACAATTTTTTTTTCTTCCCTGTACAAAACACTGCCCAAAAATCCTCTCTTCAAAATATTGATGTGGCAGTACTGTAGGTACAGTACATGCCCACACATTTGCTGTGCAGGGAATTATGTTTCCTATCCAAGCTGGTTAGACAGCGTGGGGGGCTGAAATTGATCAGGGGTTGACTTAGCTTTGCTTGACTTTGTTTGGTTTATACATGTGGCAGCCCAAAAGCAGAAACAGATTAACTTGCAGGCTGAAAGTCTCAACTGGCTGACTTAAGGGGCTTGTATTGTTTTCACCATGAAGCGTGGATTAAAAAGCAAAACTAAATGATGATGTAGGCTAAAGTCTTCAAGGATCGCTGGTAATCTTACTTACAGCATGTGTGTTTTGATGTTAAGAATGCGTTACGGATGTTTCGTAAGGAAAAAGAAGTTGTAATGTTGAATTTCATGGTGAAATTCAGACTGTGCAACTTGATCCATCAAAATAGGTTATTAGTCAGAGGTTGTTCTGAGTAACAGGGAATCAAGATGAAACATTTTCACATTCAAATTCACAAGTTAAATGCGTCAAGCCCAGGTTAACAGAGAAGGAAGTATTATGTACAGAAAGCTCTTTACACCGGAAAGTTTTAAAAGTGGAAATACTCATTTCATTTTTGCAAGATTTGCTCACTGTGTGTTACTTTTTTGCGGTGGCCTAGTTACGTTTGATCTGAAAATATTGTTCCAATCTATCACACCATAGTTAGAGCGGGCAGTGACTCATGACAGGTCAAGATACGAAAGTGACCGGAACGACCAATTACCGAGCAGAGAGATGTTGCATCCTCTGGGCTCAACTCACAAATCAAAAAGCAAAGCAAACCATCACAGTGTGGCCGCCATACAATGGACTAATGGATTCTGAATAACAACCGAAGAGCTCACATCTATTTGGGATTGGAGGAAAAAAAAAAAACCTGAAATGATCTTAAATTGACGACTTTCCTCCCATGCGTGGTGCTTTGAGTGTGTGCAATATGATTAGGGGGTGTTGTTTAGTGCCTTGGCAAATGCTAGACCACACTGGTTTAATCTGATTTGGAGTGGCAAATTCAGGAGGGAACAAGCTCTTTGCCGACTTCTAAATCAGGTTTCTTGACATTTGTTTTGCAGTGTTTTTAAATCTTTAATTGTTCTTGTTGGGCATGGTTATTCTTTCTCTCCCTCTCTCTGAAAGTTGCCGGCAAATTGAAAAGTTTAAGCCTGAAAATTTGATTGAGATTTTTTTATTTTTCTATTTTTTTTGGGTGGACTTCTATAAAGTTGCAAAAAGATCAAGTACATTTACTTGTTACTGGTTTCTGTACCGTTGACGCAGATTCCGTGCACAAATTTCAGCGGAACTCATCTGAGCATGATCCTGGGACAGAAATGGCACTGAAATGTTGGTTAGGAATAGCTTTTATGTGGCCAAGGGTGCAGTTTTCTTGGCACATTATTCTGCCTTCGTTGCCAAGTTGAAAATCCCAAACATACATGTAGTCACACGTACACCCGTAATTCTTCAAAGCTTGTTAAATAACAGGCGATTCAGTACAATGCATATTTTGTCCAATAAATTTGATATTTCTGATGGATCTAATCTATGCGGCATCTTGATAGTACATATTTTAAAGAGACGACCTCAAGTACCTTCATGGCACAAACCAGTTTTCTAGAAAAAACGTCGGAAGTTACCTACTTCAGAGACTGGATTTATTAGGAAAGAACTCACAAAGAACCCAAAAGTTAAGTTTTAATAATCATTTTATTCCGGCTGCGTGGCATTATTAGACTTTCTGCCCTTTCAAAAAACATAAACAAAGGCACAGCCTGTACCATAGTTTTGTTTTTAAACTTTTCAAAGTCTCAATAATTTTAAGCAGTGAAATCTTGGCTGGTACACAGGCCTCAAACACATGCGGTACAAGGCATTTGGCCATCAGCAGTTCCCATCCGGCAGACCTTGCGTCATAGACCGCACAGGGAAAAGTCAACATTGTGGTGCCTGGCAGCCAATATTCAGCTCTCCAGCATGTAAACATCGGACACAACAGCTGGGAAAGGAAATGAAAAGGAATTGATTGGAGGTTTTATGATACGGCATAATAGCACATGTTTATTATCACTTTTGCTCAGATTTTAAGAGCTAATCCTATGCGGAAGTGAAAATTGATTAATTTCGTTTGTTTTGTTAAGGAAAAAACTGAATAGTGTAAAGAATGGCTTTAACACAGCCACATTAAACATTTCATTTCAGTTAATTTCATTTGATTGCACGTCGCTGCAGTGTGAAAAAAAAAGAAATTAAAAAGTTGTAGTTAAAGGGGCACAGTTTGCTGGTGGGTTCTGGGGGTTTTTTGAGGATATTTTCAATTTACCCACAGCTTTGAGAGAGTGGTCGTTTCTTTTGGGCTCTTTCAAAATCCCAAGAGAATGTTTTCTTTTGTTGGGTATAAATAGATTCAGTTTGGACAGTGATTCATCTGTGCAGATTTCATGACAGTACAATTTTGAAATCAAAGCCAGCACGTACATGTATTAAGTTGGACGTGAAGAAATTCAGCACTTTCCTTTAATATGATAGGTGATATCAAATAAATGTTACCCTCTTGAGTGTGTCTTACAATTAGTCGTACACCCATACAGTACCCAAAGAACCTTTGGAAAAGAAATACATGCCTCCCTGTACAGTAAATATCTGTAGCCATCAGTCTACTTGACGACCCGTTCTGTCCACCTGAGGGTACCGGTGGAAGCAACCCCTGTATTTAAAAAAAATAATCAATTTTCTTGCCTCTAATCTTTGGTAATTGCTGCCAAAGATTTAATTAGGCGGGTCTTTGCCTGTGGCAGTGGCTACACAAAGCTGGCTGGAAAAAATAATAACATCTTTAATGCATGGCTACGCGCACCCTCTTGCATGTTATTGCATCTAGTTCCTGACCTCCATGTGTTTGAATTTCTTCAGTATGGTTATGAGCATACCGACTGTACCGTACATGTACACAAGTCTTAAAGTGTAACATTTGGCAGTTGGATTACACTATGGTAGTTTGAATGCTTTTTATGGTCATACTGGGGGTATCTTATCCAAAGATTGTTTGACCTGAATTTGGAATCTGGTTTTTAAATTAGTACTGTTTTCATAAGTCTCGGACTCCGTACTGTTCTAATCATGGCATGTAATCCTACAAATTTGTACTTTTTCTGCAGTAAATAATGGTTAATACTTAAAGAATGAGTCAATACTTAGCAAGAATGTAGTTTTGTGATGTTGCGGGGGAAGTATTGCCACTGCTAACTTCAAACAGTTTTACTCATACCAATGTCTCCTGACATCAAACTCACTTCTCCTTTGCATTTTAGTGTGCATACATGTACATGTGCATACGTTGTTATATGTGTGACCTTCTCTGACACAGTTCACTTACTCAAGGAACCGATATGTACATGTACCATCTTGAATTTTTATAACAGTGCTTTGTTCTTCCGCATGCATGTACATTTAACTAAGTCCCCGTATTCATCGTATCTTATGTGTAGATCTGTTACATGTTGCAATTGGCATTCCCACAGTTATCAGTTTGAACTGAAAATTCATTCTTTATTCTTAACGAGTTGCTTACATTTTAATTTATTTCAAATAAAATATATAAAATTAAGATTCCATTAGCTGAAGTATGTCGCTTAATCTGCTGAATGATGAAAGAAAACACTACATATGAACTTATGAATTAAGAAAAAATCAATGGATGTGTCACATATTTTTAATTCAGTAGTCTTGTTGGAATGCTGTTTTCATGAAATGTCAGCCCCAAATGGTTGACCTTCTTTCTCTTCAGATATGAACAGCCAATTTATTCAGGACTTGTCATTTTCAAAAGCCTTTCATCTGAGATGTGATGCATACCCTTGTCACCGATATCCTGTGTGGGGCCTCTCTTAATTATTGACTTCCCCTGTACGTGTCAGCGTATATCGCTCAAAGGTTAAATGCCATCTAATCTGGAAGTACCAGATTAATTTTTTAAGATGGTCAAATCACAAATCATCAGTGGTTTCCCTGTAGGCTTGTTTATAGTGACATCTTCAAGCACGTGTGCAGCCATAAATGGGCCAGCCTCAGTACCTTTGCAGTTTGGTCAAGCTGCTTGAAGAGTGCAATGACAGAATTGTTCATGGTCTAGTTCCCAGCTCCATGCATATGGTTATCTTCAGTCTAATAAAAGACTTGGCGCGTCCCTTCTTTGACACCAAGTACATATTATTGCATAAAGGACCTGTTTCTTCAGTTTACTGCCTACAGGAAGGAGTTGATATGTACATATTGTGATAGATTTCTATGAAACCCCATTATTCTGTGACACATCAAGGATTTCCAGTGAATGTCACTAGACAAGGTAGGTAGTTGTAGTGTCTATTTTCTTGTGATATCTTCAAGATTAGATTTGATAACCGATGCTCTTCAACGTGCATGCAAGTCAAAGTCAGGTTTTGTCAAAACGAGATGTCTAGTATCAAGTGCATTCTTCACAGCTGGTGAGGATGACGGATCATTAAGAGCCAGACGGCAGATGTATTACTGGTATGCTTAAGCTTTACCCTGACCCAAGT